CTATCTTCCCTTACCGAATATCATCCTGATCCCGATCCCACTCCCGCCACGCCCCTTCCCACAATATTACATGATTACCCGATTATGGATAATCCACTAATTTTCCTTTAAATCCCATTGAAGTGTATTTTTCTGCCTCTTCTTCCAACTCCCTGTCCATACTCCTACCCTAAAAATTAGCCCAAGCCCGCTCCCGCCACGCCCCCTTGTCTGGACTTTCCCAACGCTATGTTAGCCGCATTTTGTAGTATGTCAGTGGTACAAGTAAGCTTCCGGTGAGATTCCAGCTTCTATTTCGTGTCGCCTGAGCGGGATTACGTTTCGGATCATTCGGCACGCGAAAGCTACCAAACAGGTAATTTACGACGGAAGTTTTTCTTTCTTTGGAAATCCTTTCGTAAACGTCATGGAAGTCCAGGGAAAGGGAAGTAGTGAGTGCTTTGGGGTTGGAGGAGGGGGGCCTTAACAAAGGAGATACAGTAAGGTTTTCTTGGATCCAAGAGAATACTAAAGAAAGAAGTCAGGAAGAACGTTTTGCCAATTTTGGTAACAATATGTTTGTGTATTATATCAAATTCCGCTCCCTCTTCGCTCTCTTACCCGTATGACTGTCTTTTTTTGTCCAGAAAATCTTTGTATTACGAGAAAAACTTTGGAAAACAAAAAACCAACTTAGATTTTCGCTTTCCGCGTCAATCACCAAATCCAAAGCGTACCCATGAAAGGTCCAGGAACCAAATTTCAGGTAACACACCTGGTCATCGAATGGGAACCTGAATTTGGAAATTTTGGACACTAAATCTTCAAAATAGGTGTAACCAAGCTGACCATGTAACATCCAGTTTACAGACAAATTTCAATACACCAGGTGGTATCCAGTTAACGTCACCGGAGGAATAGACCAGCAGATTGCTTTTAAAGGTGGAGTCGAAATCTTCTGCGGCGCTGAATTTGATTTCTGCTGTAAGAAATTACAGGAAAACTGTATTACCTGTTATACAGTAGAATATCCGGTTTCCATATGTGATCAGCACCACCAGGAAAACGAATATCCTGAATTCCTTCGTATTTGTCTGGATCCCACCCTAGACTGTAGTCGTGCCAGGTCTGCAAATTGCCAAATCAACCCAGTAATTAGAATTTGTAGAGGTTCTTTCGCCACTCACATAGCTCAGCCAAGCGTTAAGAGATACTAGCTGGTTCTTCTCATCAACATCTAGAATCTGCTGTAGAAACATCTTGATCTTTACAGTGAGCGGTTCAGATGCATTAGCCACAGGGCGTTCCAGTGGATTGTATCCTGAAGTGATAAATCA